GGACGGTGAGCTAGATGGAGATGTATCCCATAGAATCAGAACAGGGTGGATGAGTGGAAGAGTGCGTCAGGATTTCTATGTGATAGAGGTATGCTGACGAGACTGAAGGGTAAATTTTATAGGACAGCAATTAGGTCTGCATTGCTGTATGGCGTAGAGTGTTGGGCAGTGAAACAATGTCACATCCAAAAGATGAGTGTGACAGAGATGCACATGTTGTGTTGGATGTGTGGGCATACTAGGAAGGACCACGTGAGAAATGAGACAATCAGACAAAGGGTTGGAGTAGCACCTATTGAAGACAAGATGCGGGAGTCTCGCCTACGATGATTTGGTCATGTGCGTAGAAGACCGAATGATGCACCTGCCAGACGTGTTGAGATGTGTGGAGAAGAGGCAGGGAAGAGAGGGAGAGGAAGACCCAAACAGACGTGGGTTAGGGTAGTCCGAAGTGATATGCTTCTTCTTGGGTTGGATGAGGGTATGGCTTTGGAGAGAGCAAAGTGGAGGGCGTGTATTCGTGTGGAGGAGTGGTCTCGTATTATTATTATTATTATTATTATTTCCCCTCATCTTTTTTCCTCTTGTTTTTTTCTTTTATCCTTATATATAAAAACATTATTTTTTATCCTTTTTATTTTATCATTTTTAAGTATATTCATCCCGTTTTATATTATCTTTTTTATAATAGCTTATTTATTTTATCTTTATATTCTTTCTTTTCCTTTTGGTGGTGTTATCATGTATCGATTCATGTCAACCGACCTCATTGTCTTTTGGGACTAAGGCTTGAATGTTGTTGTTGTAATGAAAAATGATATCTTTATCTTCTTTAAAATCTTAAAATTGTCAATGAAGGTTAGGGCATTTTAGGGATGAAAAAAATGTTGGTGTAATCATTTAGGTTTATGAGGTTGTACATTGTGTTTTTCCTTTTGTACAATTTTAAGGGGAATTTATTTTGCCGTTAATCTCCGTTCAATCCCTCCCGTTTGTTCCAGCATGGGTTATCTCCGCTTCCTTCATTGAGCTCCCGTTTATTTCGACTCCCAGCGGCCCCTAACCCTAAAACAAGCTCCAGTCATGTTTACCTCTCAAAGTTTTTCATCAGATTTTGTTTACATTTTCTGAATTTTGCCGTCTGTACTGCAATGGCAGCACTGTCCCTTCCTAAAATTAGTCTCAACAGTCCCTCTGCCAACATCACTTCTCTGGGAACACATTAGCATTATATATCCTCCCTGAGATAAACTGCGGTCCAATACATGTCTGTTATTGTCTTTTATGTTCTGGTAACTAATAATTTTTTATTTACTTTATGATAGTTTAAGCCTTAAAAAGGCCACAGACCTGTACGAGGTAATGAACAAGCTCCAGAACCAAGGCTTTAAGATCACAATGAATTTCTTCAATTCATCCTCAAATATGAGGAATGTTTTGTTCATACGACCCCGTCCGTTCTTACAAAAAGAAACATAAATGAAGTCTCTGACTTAGCTCGAAATTTATATATCGCCGCGGAGCATAAGGGCCTGTTTGGATGGAGTGTTTGGAAGTGTTAGTAATGGAAGTGTTAGTAAGTGTTAGTAAGGGCTCTGAAGGGAAGGGAAGTGTAAGTGTTAGACATAATTTTACCTTGTTTGGGAGAGTCAAATGAATGAAGTGTTAATAATTTTACCTTGAAGCAAAAGAAACGAGTAAACAGAAGAGATGCAAAAACAAACCATCAGACCCGTGGGAAAGACATTCGAAGTGAAATGTCGAAGCATTTTATGTTTTCCGGGTAAATGAGAAGGGTAATAATTGTCCAACACCTCAAAACAGTCCAAATCGGGGTGTTAAAAAAATGGACAATTGAGGTGTTGGGAAGGTTATTATTAACACTTCCTAACCATTACTAACACTTCTTAACACCTCTGAATTTTTCTCCCAAACAAGTGTTAGCATCAACACTTACTAACACTTCCATTACTAACACTCCTCAACACTCAATCCAAACATGCCGTAAGCTCCGCCATCTTATCGACTATAGCTCATTGATCCAAACTTTTTTCACTAAGATACATTGTCCTCGTTATGAGCAAACACTTGCCGAAATGGCCTCTGCGGCCTGCCTACGATGGTTATACATTTTTCTAACTGCATTTCTGGACTTCCTCGGTCGAATCTACATCTACCGCAGCGAAATCTAACTTGCTTTCTAAGACTCTACCATCATGGATAGGCTGACTTTGAGAGGCACTTACTGGAATATCTGCTAAGAAGATAAGCTGCAAGAGCTAACTTCCCGCTGCCCAGCAGAGTACTCCATAACTAATCTAACCAGTAACCACAGGGGGGAGGAAGGGAATAAAGTGCAAGAAAAAGGAGAGAACACTTGTTTGCCTTAGTCTATCTAAGTGCCAGTAAGAGTAAGCGTCCTGAGTCCTGACTCTTCCTAAAAGAATGCTTTATGTGAGTGCTTGCAGCTTAGCTAAGTTTAGCACTATTGACGCTCTTATTCTGTATTAAAATGCTTCCCTACTGTGTAGGGTCTCTCTACTATGCAGCTATCATCTATGGCACTCTCAGAACTGTAGAGTACATGTGAAGGATGTAGAGGTGGAGGCCTAGAGCATTTATGCTTTTATATAAAGAATATGAATCCGGATGTTTTCATTTGAGAGAATTCCCTAAATAGGAGTAAAAACATTTTGAAATTCCAAAATAGGAGTATCATTTTTTTTATTCCCTAAATAGGAGTAAATTTCTGCCAAGTTTGGAATTATAAGGCTTTAAACATGGCATTTGTTTCTAAACTTGGCAGATTACTCCTATTTAGGGAATAAAAATCATGATGCTCCTATTTTGGAATTTCAAAACGTTTTTACTCCTATTTAGGGCAATTTCTGTTTTCATTTCGCTTCTTTTTCTATTACATTATTCTGTAAAATTTTAGTAAAACAAAATGGTCATGAACCAGATAAGTCAAAATGTTTTATTTTTTGTAATGATAAAAACGCATTAAAAAAGATACGAGTATATTATATTTATACCACTATTCCAGTGATAGGGGATCTCTCTACCTGTAAAATATAGAGAGTTAGCATTTGAAATTCATATTAGGATAAATCACCTCATATATATTTAGTTGATTGGGAGAAGTAGTTAAAGAAGAAGAACATGTTAACACGTGTTCCCAAAAAATGAATGACTTTCATAAAACACAGAGGTTTATATTATGATTGCACTAAATCTTATGATGAAAATGAGAAATCACAATCTCCAAGGTTTAATGGATAGATCTACATTACTTCCAATCAGATTTAGAATATGTTTTGCTATTTTTACCTTGATGGGTAGATGTTTAGTGTTTTATCTTAACTACTATAAACCGTTATGTGAGAGTTTCATATGCTTTGTTGCACTACCAAGAGCATGCCTGGTTTCACTTTGCTTCTTATACTTTTATATGATTGGACTTTCACAAACTAAATTTAAATAGACTTGGTTTGGAAAAGGAGGGATTCATTTTCATTTAGAAGATATATTAATAATCTATCTTGAAGCATTTTGTGATGTTTGTTTCTCATTAGCTCAAACGGCATGGTAATAAAGGTCTCTTCAAAAACATATTTTGATTTTACAAAATTTGATAGCTCATACTGATAGATTATTTAATCTTAGAGAGAAGTAGGGGTGGGTTCGTAGAACCGAAAACCGAAAACCGAATCGAATCAAATCAAACCGCGACCAAATAAACCGAACCGATGAAAAATCGAAACCGAACATAAGAAACCGAACCGAACCGAACATGTTTGGTTTCGATTTCGGTTTTGACTCCTCAAAACCGAACCGAACCGAAAAAACCGAAATATTTAAAAATATAAAAAAATCATTTATTTTATATGGAGTATATGGCCGGTCATGTGGTCAACGCTCAAGACCGAAAGCGTAAGAGGCTTTTTACGAGTCCAGTACTCCATAATCTTTTAACCTAAAATGTAAGAGGCTTAGCTCTCGAAAAAAGGAGCTGCCGTCGAAGACATGGTAGATCGATTCAAGATACAACAACAACAACATCCAAGCCTTAGTCTCAAATGAAATTGGGGTCGGCTAACATGAATCGATACATGATATCACCACCAAAAGAAAAAGAAAGAAAATGAAGATTAAAAAATAAGCTATTATAAAAAAGATAATATAAAACGGAATGAATATACATAAAAATGATAAAATTTAAAGGGTAAAAATAATGTTTATATATATAAGGATAAAAGAATAAAAAACACGAAAAAAAGACGAGGAAAAATAATAATAATAATAATAATAATAATAATAATAATAATAATAATAATAATAATAATAATAATAATAATAATAATAATAATAATAATAATAATAATAATAATAATAATAATAATAATAATAATAATAATAATAATAATAATAATAATAATACCGAGATCACTCCTCTAAACGAATACCCGCCCTCCACTTTGCTCTCTCGATTCAAGATGTGAAGTAAAATGAGCGGATCTCCCTTTGGGACTGCACTTTATTTTGATTTCAGTTGGGACTGCATTTTATTTTGCTACACTATATCCAAGTTTACTACGCTTAACTTTTAAGTGTCATGCACTAATGTTTAGTGCACTTTATTTAAATTGTAAGGCAGGAATTTACTTTCTTTAGTACTTTGTGTTTTATTTTCCTGCACTTTGGTTATTTTGCACAATTGCACGTCATTTCTTTTTTCAGAAAGTATGTGTCTTTTGGTTTAAAACCGAAAAAACCGAAATCGAACCGAACAAAACCGAACCGAATCAACCGTGGTTGGACAAAAAATATGAACAAACCGAACCGAACCGAACCGAAGTTTTTAGTTTGATTCTACATTTGGTTTTAGGTCAAAACCGAACCGCATAAACCGAACCCACCCCTAGAGAGAAGGGAGAGCTAGAGAGATAAAGTGATATGTATAATGAATTCCAATCAACCATCCATTCAATTATCCCCCCCTTTACATGGCTCCCATAGGGAGTATTTATAGGAGAAAAGAGGGCTGGGCTTCCAGGCTTGGGCCTGGCTGGCCCAGTTACAATAAAAGGCCAATAAATGGCTAATAAATGGTATCTAATCTATTCTAATGGATATACATGAATAAAATAGAGTGTACAATGAGATAAATGCTATCTACTGAGCGTATGTGGGCCGCTGTCCGGGCCCAATAGTCGTGAGACCCGGGGGTCCGAGTCTATATACTCTATCAGGAGTCCCCCACTCTCTGAGTCGAGAGTACTCGAGGCGAAAGAGAGTAGAACTCTGTGCTGATCTGTCGTCGTCCGGTGAGTAAACTGCTGTCGTCGTCGAAGCGCCTCGCCCGGATTCCCAAGCCGATGATCCGATCCCACTGGTGAGCCCTGGCTGAGGCAACCCTATGGGAAAATCCTCAGCCGAAGGTCGCAGGCCAGAGACCATCACCACCGGTCCTGAGGCCGGGGAGCTATGTATATGTACTGGCCGATGTGGCAACTGAATATGTATGTCATATGATGATGTCGTCGGTGCGTGTGGCAATCCTTGCAAAAATTTTGAATTTCTGCTTCTTTGGTAGCGAAGGCGCTAAGTCCCCCCGCTCTCCCAGTCCCCCACTCCTTGAGGCGAGTGTAACAAGGTGAAGAGGAGTAGAGTAATGCATGTCTGATGATGTCTGCAACAGGGGGCCGAGGGTTGACACCTTTTGATCCACAATGGGGAGATGCCTCGTTAAAAACCTCATTAGGAAAAACCCTATGGGAAAAAATCCTAATGAGGGAAAAAGAGTACATCGGATGCCCCCAGAACGAAACAAAAGGTGCGAGCCCTTCGGCCTAGAGGTGGAGCTGCAGCGGTGTCCGTCTGCCGAGGGGATGGCAGAGGCCGATCCATAGATGTGGGTAGCTCGTCATGATCAGTAGTCCTAGTCATCAAATAAAGATGACTAAGGGATGGGTCGAGCGACCGTCCATAATATGATGTCTGGTTCATCAAATAAAGATGACCAGAATATGAGGCCGGTGGGCCGATGTGAGCTCCACGTCATCAAATAAAGATGACTCGGAGTAGTGGCCGAGAGGCATATATGAGAGCTCCACGTCGTCAAATAAAGACGAAGGGGCGATGTGTGGCCGAGGGGCCTGGATAAGAGCTCCACATCGTCAAATAAAGACGACGGGGCGATGTATGGCCGAGGGGCCTGCATAAGAGCTCCACGTCGTCAAATAAAGACGACGGGGCGAGATATGGCTCAGGGGCCTATAGATGAGTTCCTCGTCATCAAATAAAGATGACAGAACGATATGTGGCCGATGGGCCTGTAGATGAGCTCTTCGTCATCAAACAAAGATGACAGAATAATATATGGCCGATGGGCCTGTAGATGAGCTCTTCGTCATCAAATAAAGATGACAGAATAATATATGGCCGATGGGCCTGTAGATGAGCTCCTCGTCATCAAATAAAGATGACAGAGCGGTATATGGCCGATGGGCCTGTAGATGAGCTCTTCGTCATCAAATAAAGATGACAGAGCGGTATATGGCCGAGGGGCCTATAGATGAGCTTCTCGTTATCAAATAAAGATGACGGAGCAAGATATATGGCCGATGGGCCTGTATGAGAGCCCTTCGTCATCAAATAAAGATGCTAGAGCAAGATGTGGCCGAGGGGCCTATAGATGAGATCTGAGATCCTTTAGTCTCTGAGCCGGAGACCGCAAGATGTTTGCTAGATCCGAACATGAGAACGAGGCGTTGGACGCCTGTCTGAATATGAGGATGAGGCGCTGGGCACCTGTCTGAATATGAGGACGAGGCGTTGGACGCCTGTCTGAATGTGGGGACAAGGCGTTGGGCGCCTGTCTGAATATATGCGGACGAGGCGTTGGACGCCTGTCTGAACATGAGGACGGGGCGTGGGACGCCTGTCTGATGATACGATGACGAGGCAATGCTGAGCCGATCATCATATATAGGCAACGGTCGCCATCCAGGAGGGGATGGCGAGCCCGATCGCTAACCCAAGACATTCGGCAATGAGAGGCCGGTCTCAGAGATAGGACATCACATCGTGGCCTAGGGGCCGATCGTGATGTGAGGACGGCCGTGATAAGGAGCCGATCCAAAATAACAATGACGAGGCGATGATAAGCCGGTCGCCATGTAGGGGCGATAGTCACCATCCAGGAAGGGATGGCGAGCCTGATCGCTAGCTCAACACACTCGGCGCTGATGAAGCCGGTGTTGAGATAGATCATCACGCCGAGGCCGGGGCGGCGGTCGTGACATGAGGATGGCGATAATGGGTAGCCGATCCGAATAATGACGACGAGGCAGAGATGAGTCGGTCGTCATGTAGAGGCGACGGTCACCATCCAGGAAGGGATGGGGAGCCCGATCGCTAGCTCAACACACTTGGCGCTGACAAAGCCGGTGTTGAGATAGGGCATCACGTCGAGGCCGGGGGGCCGATCGTGATGCGAGGTCGTCAGCACTTTGAGGCCGAGCCAAACGTCCAAGCAACGGTCGCCATCCGATGAAGGAATAACTGAGATCGGTCTTGGGGAATATGATCACGTCGAGGCCGAGGGCCTGCCATGATCGGCACTGAGGGGCCGACCCAAAAATCCATGCAATGGTCGCCACCCAGTAAAGGAATGGCTAAGACCAGTCTTGATATAAGGTACCGCGCCTTGGCCGAGAGGCCGGCCGCGATGCGAGGGTGACGACTATGATAAGCCGGTCCAATGTATGATGACGAGGCAATGATAGGCCAATCGCCATGTAGAGGCGACGGTTGCTATCCCGGAAGGGAATAGCAAGCCCAATCGCTAGATCAAGACACTCGGCGCTGAGGGAGCCGGTCTTGAGATAAAGCATTACGTCGTGGCCGAAGGGCCCGATCGTGATGTGAGGACGAAGATGCTGAGGAGCATGTCCGAGATATGATGACGAGGACATGATAAGGCCGATCGTCATGTAGAGGCAACAGTCACCATCCAGGAAGGGACGGCGAGCCCGATTGCTAACTCAAGACGCTTGGCGATGAGAAGCCGGTCTTTAGAAGGAATAATCACACCAAGGCTGGGAGGCCGGTCGTGATGTGCGGATGGCGATGATGATGAGCCGATCCGAATAATGATGATGACGAGGCGGAGATGAGCCGATCGTCATGTAGAGGCGACGGTTGCTATCCCGGAAGGGAATAGCGAGCCCAGTCGCTAGCTCAAGACACTTGGCGCTAAGGGAGCCGGTCTTGAGTTAGATCATCACGTCGAGGCCGGGGGGCCGATCGTGATGTGCGGATGGCGATGATGATGAGCCGATCCGAAGATCCAAGCAACGGTCGCCATCTGGGAAGGGATGACTAAGACCGGTCTTGAGATAAGGTATCACGCCTTAGCCGAGAGGCCGGACGCGATGTAAGGACGACGGCGATAATGAGCCGGTCCAACATATGATGACGAGGCGATGTGAAGGCCGATCGTCATATAGAGGCAACGGTCGCCATCCAGGAAGGGACGGTGAGCCCGATTGCCAACTCAAGACACTTGGCAATGAGAAGCCGGTCTTGAGGAGAAATAATCACGCCAAGGCTGGGAGGCCGGTCGTGATGTGCGGATGGCGATGATGATGAGCCAATCCGAATAATGATGACGAGGCAGAGATGAGCCGATCGTCATATAAAGGCGACGGTCACCATCCAGGAAGGGATGATGAGCCCTGTCGCTAGCTCAGGACACTTGGCGATGAGAAGCCGGACTCTAAGAAGAAATAATCACGCCAAGGCTGGGAGGCCGGTCGTGATGTGCGGATGGCGATGATGATGAGCCAATCCGAATAATGATGACGAGGCGGAGATGAGCCGATCGTCATATAAAGGCGACGGTCACCATCCAGGAAGGGATGATGAGCCCTGTCGCTAGCTCAGGACACTTGGCGATGATAAGCCGGTCTCTGAGAAGAAATAATCACGCCAAGGCTGGGAGGCCGGTCGTGATGTGCGGATGGCGATGATGATGAGCCGATCCGGATAATGATGACGAGGCGATGATGAAGCCGATCGTCATATAGAGGCGACGGTCACCATCCAGGAAGGGATGATGAGCCCTGTCGCTAGCTCAGGACACTTGGCGCTAAGGAGGCCGGTCTTGAGATAAAGCATCACGCCGAGGCCGGGGGGCCGGTGGTGATGAGCGGATGGCGATGATGATGAGCCGATCCGGATAATGATGACGAGGCGATGATGAAGCCGATCGTCATATAGAGGCGACGGTCACCATCCAGGAAGGGATGATGAGCCCGATTGCCAACTCAAGACACTTGGCAATGAGAAGCCGGTCTTGAGATGAATAATAAGTTTGGGGAATTTATTTATTTTTATTGCTCAAGGCCGGTAAGTGCGCGGTCCGTCGGCTTCCCTCTTTTTTTTTTTTTTTTTTTGGATGGCCGAAGGGTTACTGTCCCTTCGTCCATGTGCGGTATTTTGTCCGCTACGCTTTTCGCGTGTGTTAGTGCGAGGGAGTAAATACGCCCTCGGCTTGGTGTGTCAGTGGCATCCCTTTTTGCCTTTCCACGTCTATCGGCGACGAGGGACCGGACTAGGCATCGTCTTTTGACGGCCGCCCTTTGTGGTCCTAAGCGAAATTTTACTGACGGGTGGAGTTTTTGTAACCTCAGCCTTAATTCAGGCCTGTCGTCCTGCGGTTTCCGCGCGGACGACGCGGTATGCTTCTCTGTTTGAAGACGTTGGACCATGCACACAGGTCCTTCGTCCTGCATATCGCCGGCCGATTTGGGTGTTTCACCGCTTGTGCCGATACGATATTTAGGTGCGTTGTTTATTGCAACGGCTTTGTAGGCGCGTTGTGGATCGCAACGGCCTTAGGTGCGTTGTGTATTGCAACGGCTTTGGGTGCGTCGTTTATTGCGACGGCTTTAGGTGCGTTGTTTATTGCAACGGCTTTGGGTGCGTCGTTTATTGCGACGGCTTTAGGTGCGTTGTTTATTGCAACGGCTTTGGGTGCGTTGTTTATTGCAACGGCTTCTGGATGACGCAATTAGCGTCTAGGGGAATGAGGCGTACCGCTTTTAGGCATAATGTCATGTGCAGCCGATGATGGCTCTCATTCTAGATATTCGGGTCATCAAATAAAGATGACCGGGGTAGGTCAAGGGACCCAAATATAATCCGAATCATCAAATAAAGATGTTCGGAAGGTTAGGGCTTGGCCCGTACCAATTGGAGATTTTGACCCGCTAGCAACGGTGATGATAATAATAATAGTAATAATAATTATTATTATTATTTTGTTTTTCTTTTGAATAGTTAGTAAAACTATATTTTTTTTTTGAATAGTGGTAAAACTATTTTGCTCCATATTTAATGCATAAAATAGGAGGAAAAGTTTGTGAGACTTACTTGTATTTGGGCCGAAGCCTGCCCTGCCTAGAATTCAAGCAGGGAGATAGATATAGCTGATAGGGCCTGCTCTAGATAATCCAGTCTTTCATTAAATAGCCGGCCCACTAACTGATTTGATTTTGAGTGTTTAGCCCAGCGTCCTTTTATTTCAGCCGAGCTCGCTTGCGAGGAATACAGAGAAGGAGACGGTTCGTCCGTCGCTTGTGATGAATACGGAGAAGAAGACGAAGCGGCCTATTCGCCAGAGGCCATGGGGATTGACGCCTGCTGCGACCGCCGAAGAGGACCGAGGTTCTCTCCGCCGGGCCGCCCTGCTTTTCCGAAGAGGTTGCCTGATGCGACGCGGCAGTTCGTTGGGCAGGACTCTGTCCGGCTGGGTGGTGCCGGTGGCCGAGGCGATGCCAATGTCCGATGGGTGGGCCGATGCGTTGCATCCGATGGTGCTCTGCGGCCGACGCAGTGGTGTCTCCCTCAATTGCCTGGCCGAAGTGCTCGATGGTTCGCTACTCAGCCGGTCATTGGACGAGGGGCTGTCACCAGCTTTTCTTTCCTTCTTTGTTGGGGTTTGACCAAGGCCCAAGGGACAGTTTGTTTTCCTCGTTGTTTGGCCGATGTGGTCCGCCGATGCTGTGCCGGCCAATGATGAGCCGGCTGATGCGGTGCGTCGATGCGGTGCCGGCCGATGAGGAGCTGGTCGATAGCGTTGCTAGCCGATGGACTGCCACTTCTCAGGATAGAGACGAGTGTGGTGTCTGACCGAAGGGTCACACTGCCCCAAGAAGGACGAGGCGAACAGGTGGGGACTTTTGACCAAGATGGTGGTGGTCGTAACCTGCCATGTTCCTTTTCCTTTAGTTTTTCGTTTGAGCTTGACTGAGAGGCCCTCATGGCCGAGGAATTACCGGCCGAAGCGTTGCCGGCCGAAGCGTGCTGCCGATATGGTCTGGCCGATGTGGTCTCATCCGTTGTGTGCCGGTGGCCGAAATTGTGCCGGCCGATGGTGTTGCCGGCCGAAGATGTTTCCGGCCGAAGGTGCTGCCGGCCGAAGCGTGCTGTCCGGCCGAGATGACTCTTATTTTCCGCTGGGGTGAGAGGCCGATGCGATGTCCCTCTTTTTGGCCGGCGCGGTGCGCGGCTGATGCGTTTTTCCGATGCCGACCGATGGGTGCCGGCCGAGATGGAGCCGTTGTAGGCGAGGGGTTCCGACTAGCTTTCCTTGGCCGTATGGACTGCCTCTTCTCCGCTTAAGCTGTTGTTTTCTTTTTTGTTTGGCCGAAGAGCAGCCTCCTACTGCTCAAAGACGAGGGGGTCGGTCATCCAGCCGTGGTGGTGCTTGGCCGATGTGTGGACTCGGCCGACGTGTGCACTGCCACCCATTGAGCTGGTTGAATTCCGTCGGACGAGGGGGACCTGGAGCAGGGGCGTTGCTTTTAGTTCGTTTGGGTTTTACCCTGCAGCTCTTAGCCGAGGCGTTACCCATTTGCCCCCATCAGTTGGCATGACCAAGAGGCCATCATAGTAAACAAGACTCCACCTGCAGGGAATTTTAATGAGTCATGGGCCGAAAGGATTTTAAAGGGCCCCACCATGTCTTTGTTTGGCTTTTTTGTTTATGTTTTGATTTCTGCTGGCCGATGGGAGGTGGTAGTCTTTCCCTTTTGCCGAGGAATGCACATGACATGGAAGGCGTGATGGCATGTTGCCTTCACCAGGGCCGAAGCGATACCACGTGATTATTTACGTGATGTGACATTGGTTGGGAGGATCTAACTTGATATATTCTAACTCTCAATGAAAGCACCAAATGATAGATTATTTAATCTTAGAGAGAAGGGAGAGCTAGAGAGATAAAGTGATATGTATAATGAATTCCAATCAACCATCCATTCAATTATCCCCCCCTTTACATGGCTCCCATAGGGAGTATTTATAGGAGAAAAGAGGGCTGGGCTTCCAGGCTTGGGCCTGGCTGGCCCAGTTACAATAAAAGGCCAATAAATGGCTAATAAATGGTATCTAATCTATTCTAATGGATATACATGAATAAAATAGAGTGTACAATGAGATAAATGCTATCTACTGAGCGTATGTGGGCCGCTGTCCGGGCCCAATAGTCGTGAGACCCGGGGGTCCGAGTCTATATACTCTATCACATACGTTTTTTAATCTTAAATGACCTGTATTACTTGGAATGTGGTTTTAGGTTTGAATTGACTTCATTTTGTGTGGATGGTTGTACATTGTAATTAGAGAAATGTTTATACTCTTTTTACCTAATTCAAACTTATTTCACTTTTTTTCTTTTGTGGAGTTTGATGTGTAATTCATAAACGGGTATATGATATTGGACATTTACTCAATCGCGCATTGCACGTATAAAAACTATTATTACATACGGAGTAATAAAATACATAGGCATTATATTCTATACCCTAGCGTAGGGTTGTAAATGAATCAAATAATTTGTGCTCGATTCGTGATTCGAATTTGTATAAGATCATTCGAATTCAGAAAATTCAAATACAAATACAAATAAGAATATTAAATTTGATTCGAGTTGTTATCAAATACAAATAAGAATATCAGTGTATTCGATTCGAATATTAATCAAATATATTCGATTAATAATAATGGTAATATTGATATCAATATTGATGATAATAATAATAACAACACTATAATAACTTTTAAAACATAGCAATACTCTCAAAGTGTAGCTCATATATACATTGGGATATACATTTTAGCATACAAATTCCAAGCCCATTTGTAATAAAACCAAATATAAATATGAATACAAATCAAATTTTTGGTTCAAAAGTCTTTCAATACAATACAAATAATTATGTATTTGATTTGAAGAATAAAAATAGAGTTGTTTGACTTTGATATATACAATTATCAACTTATTTCACAGATTATAAGTATAATTTCTAATATGTGTGTGTTAGTGTTTATTTCAAAAAGTTTGGAATAGATTTATATTTATTAATCATAAAATTAATTCACTTTAGTATATTGTGCACCATCTAAAAATGCATTGATCCATTAAATTTAAATTGTAAAAACACATATTAAGTCATACTACGTAGTATGCATTTACAGTATAAGAAAAGTTATTTAAAAGTGATATTTGACTAATATTCAACCTATGCTCAAATCGATTCGATATTCGTATATGATTCGTTAACTATTCGTATTGTTAAACAAATACAAATACAAATCCAAATTAATATTCGTTTCATATTTGAATTCGAATTCGTATTCGAAAAAATTAAACAAATACAAATACAAAATCTCATTATTCGACTCGATTCGATTCGTATACAACCCTACCGGCCTAGCGGCCTAGCAGTCGGCTAGCAGAAGGTAAGAATGTAATAATAAACAAAAACTCGCTCATCATTATCATATCCTCCGTATATATATACGCTGTAATAAATTAAAAACGTAAGTCGCTTAACCTAACATCGAAGGCTGTTAATTTATTTTCAACCACGGCAGCCGGGCAGGGGCGCAGGGCATATAGAAATACCCTCACATATCATTTCTTTTAGGGAAAAGGGGCAAATAAGCCCTCGAACTAATCAAAAAAGTGCAAATAAGCTCTTTTGTAGGAGGTTTTGTCCGATCATCGTCATTTGGGGAGGTTCTCGGTGGAATTTTTTGATGAATTTTTTTGATCATCTTCTTCATTAAGTCTTGTTTAGCCATACCGAATTTCAGCTAAAAATTCATCCGGGAAGGCACTCAAATGATTTTCGGAAATATACTGCGTTTTTTAACTGCGCAGTTATCTTCAAAAATTCATTTGACTGTCTTCCCGGTTGAATTTTTAGCTGAAATTCAGTAGGACTAAACTAGACTTAATGAATTAGATGCTCAAAAAATTTCATCAAAAAATTCCACCGTGAACCTCCCCAAATGACGATGACCGGACGGAACCTCTTACAAAAGGGCTTATTTGCACTTTTTTGATTAGTTCGAGGGCTTATTTGACCCTTTTCCCTTTCTTTTAGATTGAAAGGGGAAAGCCGGAAAGCTCAAATTGAATTGAAAATACTTACATTTACCATTAGATCCCGTTTGGTAGCACGAAAATCAGCTTGTTTGGCTGATTCTGCTGAAATTTATGAAGTTCTGGCTGAAGTTGCTGCATTGGCTGATTCTGCTGTTTTAAGAAAAAAAAATTGAAAATACATTTTATTAATAAAATTAATAAAAAATTATACTCCTTCCATCCCAAAAACAACTTCCCACTTTCCTTAAATGGATGTCCCAAAATTAAGTTCACACTTCAATACTTTCCTTATTTGGCAAATTATCTACTCCCTCTGTAACTTAAAAATCTTCTCACTTTCCTTTTTCGTCCGTAACAAAAAATCTTTTCATTTCTAAATCTTCTCATCATACCCTCAATAATTCTTAAAATAATACATTGTACTATTACAACTACCTTTTTTTGGATCTATCCTACATTCCACCACATTATTCCACTATTTTCCCATCATACCCTCAATAATTCATATCATCTTTCACTATTCTTATTCTACCTACTTTTGAAATGGGAACATTTTAAAGTTACGGAGGAAGTACATCAAAACAGTGCCAACTGCCAAACAGTGCCAAACAATGTCAAACAGTGTCCAAACAGTGTCAAACAGTGTTTGAACAGTGCAAAACAGTGCACCCAACAGTAAATTCAAATTTATTTTCTTAATCTGTGTGATTGTCAAACTGTGAAGTTGTTTTTGTGATGGAGGGAGTATGTAAAAATAGATAAAATGGTCATCTACAGTACAGTAACTTCAACCAATACAGCCAGAAAAGTAACTCCAACCTTACTTTTTCTGCTTATTACACAATTCAGCGCGTGAAAGCAAAAGTTACATGTTTGGTGAAAAAGTTGGCTGATAAGGCTGATAAGGCGAATTGAAAAACAGTGTTGTCAAACGGTCTCTTAATGTTTTTGTCATAGACAAATTTCTTTATGATCATTCATCCAGTATAGTGATGATAAGACAATCATTACCCGTACGGGTAGCTCTGTGACACCGCACCCGAATGTCCTTGGAAATTTGATTTGAATATTCATAGCTTATGTATTGGATTTCCGATTCCCAAACATTTCGTAAAACGATCAATGTTCTACGTAGTGCATGGTTGAATATCGTACTGTTCAAACTCGTACATTAGTGTCGGGTTTCGCAAATACTTACTCGGGACTTATTAATAAATAAAAAAGCCCAACATTACCAAAATAGTGAAAGAATGATTAAAGGAGAATACAAATGTCTATAACCCCATCTTTGGCATTATTGAGCTAAATAATGGGAGTAGGATTTTCCTTCTAAAATATCCATCAAGTAAATTATTGGGATGAGCCTACACATATTGGAGATCAATAATGTGATTTAGGAAGTTGACTTGTTCTAAATAAATTAGGATGAGTACAAGAAGACATCTTTGACAAAGATAAAACAATAGGACCCATCTTCCCATTTTTGGAAGTATTGGTAGATATTTTGGACCCCAAATTTAATGGGATCAATTGGGAACCACTCCACATGATATTAGTACCTGCAAAACAAATAAAAATGGGTTAGAAGACCTACCTTGGCCGTCCATAATGGAGGGGAGCTGCACATGACTTGATAGGAATCAAAGCTTGGGCCACCATCCTTATTTTCGCACAAATTGGTGTGCTGTTTGTCTCCTCTCATTATAGAAGCTATACTCGACCAAACAACGTGAATAATATGTCTTTGGATAGCCTTTGAAGTCTATTATCTCAATTGAGTGGTCTTTGTTCGAGGAGAGAAGGCTTATCTTACAAAAATCGAGCTGGAACGAGCAGAGGTCTGTGAACTCGAGCTGTGAGAGTGCTGAGACTGTTTGGTCGATATCTCGAGTTTTACAAATCCAATTAAGGCGTGTGAGATACCCACAGAAAGCTCTCAAGACGAGGAATCCGTGAAGGTCTGGTTTGCAGGAATCGGAGTTGTGGAAGGCTTCCAAATCGTCCGAGAAAAACGCAACCTCGCAGGAGAGGATTTAATCCTCTAAAGTGAGTTTTAAACCCCAAAGCTTTACTTTTCATTCTCCAAATGATATGAACGATTGGTGAGACTATTATACACTAATCCAAGTGTATAATATGTCCTTATAAAGTTATTTTATTGATGTAAAGGTTAGATACTAACCTAGATGCAAATATTGGAAAACTAGGAATCGAGTTAGCCGGAAAACACCCGTTCTAGGGGCTGTTTTCGTATCAACGATTAAGGGTTGAACTAGCACTTTGAGGAGGCTGTTTAACACTCATATTTGAGCAAGGAATCAGTTCCAAATCCACCTTGACCAAAGCTTTGACCATTGGACCAAGAAGGGAAAGTTTAAAGCTCAATTGAGGTGAGGATTGACATCTAATTGCTTACAACTTGTAGGTTAAGCATGAGATTACCTAAATGCTTAAATCATGATTTTTCATGGATTATGA